AATCTCCACCGGGGTTTTAGTGTTTGTTCTGAACCTTGTGACGAACGCCTCTGCCAATTGCGCCCAGGAGGCTATGCTGCCTTCTGGAAGTTTTTCAAACCAAGTCAAGCCTAGATCTCCAAGGCTTAACGGGAAGAGGATGCACATTAGAGCCTCGTTTCGTCGATATACCGCCATAACCTGGCAGAAGTGGCTTAGGTGAATGTAGGGGTCCGTCTTCCTCTCGTACGTAGTGAATTTGGGCTGAAGGAAGCCTGTAGGTAGGGGCGCGTTTTCGATTGTCGGAACGAACGGCGAGGTTTGCAGCCTTGCTAATGCTTTGTCTGTCGGTTCGTAGGCAAGGCGTGGTAATGGCATTCCAACCTCGACGCTTCCATGCGATCGAGGAGCCAATCGTTGAAGGACATAAACTTTGCGAGGGTCGTGTGCCCTGGTGTCCTCCTTCCATCGTGCCTTTTCTTCCAGCATGATCCGCAAATCGGATGATCTTGGCAACTCCGTCTGTTTGGATGATGTTTGGTGCGAGTGTGAGGGTCGGTAGGCACTTCCCTCTGTGTAAGACCTCAATGATCTCATTCTCTCAGACCTGGAGTAACGAGTTCTGGAGGTTCCAGACTGAGTATCGCCTGTCCTGAGGCTTCTACTCTCTGCTTGTGATGGCGTTGAATGCCTTCCATGGTCTTCTGAGCGGCGATGGGGCATCTTGTTTTTGCGCCCCTCTCCTGTCGTCACTCATTTTCCCTTCATCTGGCGCTTCAAGGCTTCCATGTTGGCCACCATTTTCCTTATTAATTCGTCTTGCAACTTCACGCGGTCCTCCAGAACTTGAGGATCAATCCTCTGCCTTTGCCTGTCAGGACTTTGTGAACGAGAGTGACGGGGGCTGTGAGTCCGCCTCCCCCTAGTATCTCTCATGGAGTTATGTCATTGGGACTCTAAGTTCGCCATGGGAGGGATAAAAGGTAATCCTTCACGCCTTGTACCCCCGTCTGGTGTTTGTCTGTCGATGGCGGACTGTGGTAATTCTTCAATGTGCGCCATTGTTCCTAAAGAGGTAAAGCTTTATCAAGAGGTTTTGTCCTGTCTGTTCTTCCCACAGACGGCGCCAATTGTACGGGAAAGAAATAAACCTTCTCGTATAATCCTGTTGATCAAGTCCACGCTCCTCCGTACGACGTCGCTTTGTCACCTGAAAACACAAACGTGAGCTAGCCGGCGGGTGTGCGCCGGAAACCTCTCTGATGCCTAAGTCAGTAAGCTTGACAAATAGACAAAAGCTCTGTGTATTCAGAAAGCAAAGTTGTGTTTCACCTCTCCAAAGGTGATGTTTGTGAGCTTTTATAGGTTTCGTGTGGCACAATCCTAGTAGGACTTTTACTTCTCTACGCAGAGTCCTCCTAGGATTCATACTCCTGAAGGACAATGTTTATCTTTCAACACCCCCCTCACTGCTTAAACCAAGTGAGATGGTTTTTATCATGGCTAAACTTCCATCTAATCGAAGTAATTATGAGTCATGACCGGGCTAACTCTGAGACCGGTCTAACTTCAAAGCGTCTTCCAACCGGCCTAACTCCAAGTCGTTTTCGGACCGGAGTAACATTACATTTCTCTCAGGCCGGAGTAACTTTGTACCTCTCTCGGGCCGGAGTAACTTTACGGCCTTTTTACTCAGCCCTTCGTATTGTGGGCCATAATGACCATTTCCCAGCTCGGCTCAATTTTCACATAAATTACCCTCTCAAAAACTTAATTCAAAAACTTATAATTTATAACCAAACACACAACTCAAAACTCTATTGAAAATTCTATTCAAAACTCATAATCCAGTTCTTTTTAACATTCAATTCAAAAAAATAATTTGTCATTTTAGTCTAAAAAATAATTTATATATTTAAAAAATATCAAAAACAAATATAATTTTTTTTCCCCAAATAACAGGTGGCGATTGGCGATTGACAATTGTAAAAAAAAAAAATAAAAAAAAAAATATTGTTTCAGTCAACCGACTGAACGTCCGGATAGACCCAAAATTAAAAAATTCCTCTGTTTTTCAAAATAAAGAAGACGAAAGAGGGAGAAGCCAAACGTAAAAGAGAAATATGTTTTGAAATGCGTGGTGAAATCACATTTTCAAAACTCTATCCAAATAGTGTATGCAAACAGAGAGGTGAAATTATAATTACAAAACTGCACCAAAAACGGCCTAAATTTTTCTAATCGAGTTTTCTATTTTGTAAGAATTCTCTTCAAAGTCCTAATTTTATTTAGGGCAATGATTGGTGGCCACAAATTTTGTAGCTCAAATAGTCCAAAAATACTAAAACAAAGTTGTTTTGAATACAAAATAACTCTAAAAATACCAAAACAACATCATTTAAACATTTTTAATCCATTTAGACCATTTAAATCACAAAATTTATAGGCCACCAAACATTTTCCATTTATTTATTCACAATAAACCCTGCATCATCCAAGAGAGACTTAAAAAAGCTGATACTACGATACGAAACCCTTTCTTCTGAAAGTCTCTCCATTTTCTCGGCAATGCAGATTAATCATTAGGTATCGTTCTGATTATATACACACATACGTATATTCATTTATGTATGTACAATGCATATATATATATATATATATATGTTGTATTTATATGTTTGTGTTCTTGTTGGTTAGGTCTCTTTGGATTGTGTTTCAAATGGGTTGTTGTTGTTTTTGTCATTTGATTATGTTTCTCATTTCATTCTCTTTAAACTCATTTCCTTATTTGTTTGCCTTTGTACAATAGTTTAAATTGTTTTGCTAAAATGATATGAATATATCTGGCTTTGCTCATATTCTATTATAATTGTTGAATTGCATTTTGAGTATGTGTAAATGGGATTAGTAAAGATGAACTCTTGGTTCTTGGGAAGTTACATGGTTACATTAACTACTGTTTACTTCACCATTACACAACAGAGCAGCATTCACTGATCATAAAGAAGAATCATTAGGTATCCTTTTGGGCATATGTTGGCCCCAGTGTTGCCTATATTGAATGTCCCCTGCTCGAATCACCAACCCGGGAAGGCCTATACAAATTGGGGGTCAAAATCCTGGTAATTTATGTGTGTACATGCATACACGTATTTGTTGTAATTTGTGTCGTCTGTATGTTCTCTTGTTGGTTAGGTCTATATGGATGGGTTTCAACTGGGTTGTTGTTGTCAGTTGATTATGCTCGTCATTTTGTTCTCTTCACACTAAATTCCTTGTTTGTTTGGCTTTGTAGAACAGTTTAAATTGCTTCGCTCAACTGGTATTTACAACAAATATATCATACAAATTTGCTTCATAGTTCTATTCTAATTGTTGAATTACATTGCAAGTATATGTAAATGGGATTCAGAAACAAGAATTCTTGGGTCTTGGGAAGCTACATGGCACCTCAACTATTGGTTACTTCACCAATGATCCGTTGGGCCACTGCTAAACTAGGAGAAATTATCTACTATGTTTGGTCTATAGGACAAGTTGTGTGCCATTTCAATTAGCAAGAGAACACATGACCACTTTGTCCCTATTTTCTAGACAAGATGGTCACGTGTCCCCTTACTATTAGGTGGGCACACGACCACATGGTAGGCCGACCCTATCAAATAACTTCTCATAAACTAGGCTCTATTCAAATATCATTTGGTGGATTGGGATAGGGAATGTTTGCCATTCCAAGTGGAGGTCTTGGAATTCGAAAGCTGGAGTAGTTTAACAAAGCTTTATTAGGTAAGTGGTTGTGAGGTTTGTTACGAAGAGTGAGATAAGGAGGGTGGTGAAAAAGAAGTACGGGAGAGATTGGGGTAACTGGTTTACTAGTAGTGTTATGGGGCTTTATGGGTTATGGCTTTGGAAAGGCATTCTGTAGGTTTGGGATGAGTTTTCCAAATGGATTTATTTTAAGGTAGCTAATGGGGTCAGAGTGAGGTCTTGGCTTGATTCATGGTGCAGTCACAAGCAACTAAGGGAGGTCTTTCTTAGCCTGTTTCAATTGGCCTCGGATGTGTTTCAGGAAATACACTTGCTTGGCTGCTGTCTTTCTTGGTTCAAAGAGCTTTGATGGTGTAGAAAGTAATGATACATTTGAACATGTTAAAGTCAACATGTGTTTAAAATTATGGTTCTTGGAGATATTTATGATATACAAGTCATTAATAAGGAAGACATTAAAACCACAAAAAAATATGCTACTTCTTATAGTGCATGGACCTCACATAGGGTATATATTTAGTTGGTTGTTCCATCAATTGTAAAATTCCATGCATGAATGACATCACTTACAGATCATCATTGGACATTGTAGGTTGAAAGCATCATTCTCTTGGTTTCAAAAATCTGGTTTATACTGCACTGGCAATGTTATTTGTTCATATGGAAAAAGGTGGCTTTGGTGCTCTTGCTCAAATGTGCTGGTTCATGTGCCAGTAATGCTTACTTGAGGTAAGATAAATGATTGTTCTTTGTTATGCTTCAGAACAACCGAAAACATGAAGGGCGTTCCTGTCACCTGAGCTAGATAGTATCTGCTTGGCAAAAAGTAAATGTTTACTTCTTATTATACCCCTTGATTTAAGGTCTCCTAAGCAATGCATGACGATTGTTGTGTAACAACTGCAAACCAAGAGCTATATACTCTTCTATGGCAGTAGAATTTTAGTTCTTTCGCTCTCTTGGAACATCAATCTAGAAATTCAAAGTGAATTTTAAATTATAGCTAGATAAGTTGACGTCGGACGGCTAGCAAAAGAAATGTAAAAAAAAAAAGATAAAAAAGGCACACCATAATAAATTAAGAGGAAATCGCTGATTTCAATAGCCAAAATTCAATGTTATAGTCTGAATAACCCTAATACATAATGGCTTATTTATAGTCATCTAAGAAGACCATGATTAAAAGTTTTTTTAAAAAAAAGAAAAAGATTCAATAATTAAATCCTAATTAGTATTCTAATATTGATATAATTCATCAAAATCCAACTTTCCAAAAGTTTTCAAATCTTTTCTCATCCAATTCATTTTTTTGTCCTCGACCTCGTTATAAGCTTTTTCTATTCATAGTCTAGAATTAGTAGTAAACAAGGACAAACTTGACTTGTGGACTTAGCATCACATTCATAATTCATTATCAGAACATGTGAAAGAACTACTTAGAGATGCTCACTTGTGCTTCTTCTCTTTTTTAAGGTTGATTCAGTGAAATGTTCATTGGTTCTTAGAGGATTAGTTGAAACGATGTAATCTACTTATCCATGTTCATGTACCTTAGAGCATGATGCCTTAATGGTTTTTCTTGTATTTCTATGATTGACAAGTAGTAATCTATTGTTTTATCTCATCTTTGTAGAATTTGACTGTCCTACCATGTCAAAATACAGGATGTAATGTACTATGCACTAAAGGATTCGAGTGGATAATAGTATAACTGCAGGAATGGGGGGTTGCTGCTGTTCTTCCAGAAAACGTCAGCTGCATGGAACACCTATATATTACTATGTCAGTAATTTCTTCAATCACCTTTTACATGCCTAAATTGTTTTTTTGGTTACACAGTTTTGGGTACAACTCAACCCCAAAAGCTAGCAATTGAGGTGAGGGTGCCCTCATGTTTATTTACTGCACATTACTTTCATACCTAGGTGAGGTGGGACTTTGCTTCATACCCTTTCTCATGCACATTGTGCTCACTTGGCACCACCTGCCCTTTGCAGGTCAGGGACATGAACCCTACCCATCCCTAGGTACCCCGCTTTGATACCAAGTTAAATCACCACATTTCGTAAGCACTCAAAACAATTAGTTTGGTCCAAGGCCATCAATTTTTTTTTTGAGTTTTGACACTAACTAGGACACACGCATTCATCTTAATGGCAAGAAAATTAAGGGTCTCATTCCATCACACTTTGTCCGCTCAGTGAGCCTCTGAAGCACCGAGCTTGTAGAAGAACGTATGAAACAGTTTATTTCAGATTGATGACCTCCAGGGTCAGGCTACCCAACTAAGAGATGCAAGCCTTAACACTACGTCTTTATGTTAATTGATCCAAGGAAAAAAGGACACACCAAACATGAGTAGCGGTGCACAGGTAACCAAATCTGGCTATCTCCACTATAGAATGCCTTCAATCTTTTAACAACCCCTTGATGCCATTGTTTTTTGTGTCACGAGAGTTGGGGAAACTTTTCTCTTAATAAAAGTAGTTTTTGCAACCCATCAATAACTGGACGTTGATTTGGTAATATGATGGCTGGTTATAGTTCAGTAAACCTCAACAAGCTATTTGTTCTCTCTCCCTCTCTCTCTCTCTCTCTCTCTCTGTCTGTCTATCTCGAAGCAGATTCTCCTTGTTTGGCACCATTAATATCATATGACTTATACCTTATTGAAGTTTTTTTTAGAGTGGAAGTCTGTCCACTGATAAATTTTAATGTGGAAAGCGGCATTGCATGAAATTTTTGGTTGTATCCACTTACAATTCTAGACTTTCTTATTCCTTTTTGCAGTGTCCACCAGTTTTGGAAGAGAATGAGTTGTTAACATCTCACAATAGTGCAGCCACGGTACTCGCTACAGGATTCCTGGTTGATTTGAATTTGGATGGATCAACCCCTGACACTTACCGATCCCCTCCTGCACCTATCCCATATGATGTGGTTCTGGGACATCCACAACCAATTGATACTGAGTCATTGAGAGAAACCATAAATGGCAGTGTTTTTGAAAATTTGCCATTTGCAGATCTTAAGGAATCTCATTGTACAACTGACACTGCCATTTTCCTTTCCTCTCCGAAGAAGTTGGAAGTTGAACTTCTGAAATCAGATGAACTTAATGTTTCAGAAATGGAAGAAGAGGATGTTTGTCCCACTTGTCTTGAAGGTGAATTACTGGCAGCATTTCAGTAGACCTACACTATTTTTTATTTATAACCATACCATTATAATCATGTTCATAACTTATTTATTTATTTTTTTGTATTTTCTTTTGCAGATTATGATGCAGAAAATCCAAAGATTATCACAAAATGTAACCATTATTTTCACCTTTCATGCATTCTTGAGTGGACGGAAAGAAGTGACACCTGCCCCATATGTGACCAGGTTTGCATCCATTTTATTTTACTCCTATGGTGATAGGATTTGAATTTGTTGCTTTTATTGGGTTGTGGCTATTTTGAAGATATCTTTTGGTTGATAATCATGGGCCATTTTAGTGTGTGGGTGTTTGTTTTTCTTTGGTAAATGCTAGAAAAATGTCAAACGCACTGCTTTTTTGGGAAGTCTATCCCTGTTGTGTAGTCCATTCGTCATTGGATCATTTTTTTTTTCATAAGTTAAAAAATAAATAAATAAGAGATGAATGTTACAACCTTGATGTGAGAATTTTGGTGATTTTGAGTTGATGATTGCTCTGACTGTTTAGGAACCAAGACCATGATTAGCCAAGTAACGGACATGGAGCAAAACATTAATGTTGTGTTTGGTTAGAGAATTTAGGGAGGGATTTGGAAAGGGAAAGGGAAAGGGAAAGGGAAAAGATGTGTGGAATTAGGTGAAATGTAAATATATTTTATTTACATTTCACCTAATTTTTTCTTTTCTCTTTCCAAATCCCTCCTCAAATTCCCCAATCAAACACAGCGTTAATTTTATGTATTTATTATGTCCTATATTTGAATATTATATATTTATTCTGTCAATTATTTATTCTCATCAAATTTATCAACCTTAGGTATGTTACTTCGGTGAAAAAAAATAAAAAATAAGAAAGGGACACCGCATCTCCCCAAGGTGTCCATTGCGTGTCCCAAATGTGTCTAACACGTGTCCGTGTCAGACACTTGTTGGTGTCTATGCTTCATAGATGATTAAAAACCTTGTCCTCATCCTTTTAATGACTTAGAAAGACCAACGGAAATGTTTTGCTGTCGTACGTTACAGGAAATGATATTTGAAGCCATGTAATCCCTTCCGAGATGCATTTCCTCGTTCTTCAAAGTCAAAGTTTGCCGATTTGGAGACTGCAGGCAGATACATGACAGGACATCATGCTTGTAAATATCCAGAGACCTATGGTCTCCAAATTCATCTTTAATTTCTTCATAGTTTTTGCTTAGATTGCTTGTGTACGTATATTACAAGGGTCATATCTTCCCCTAGTTTTGATTCCGTCTTTGTAAGTTGGAAGTAAGGGAACAAAGTCCTGACACACCACTCCACGAAAACTGTTCTCAGACGGATTCATATGTTAAAGGTTGAAGAATCTCTCAATGAATGATTACACCCTTGAAGAAAGGATGGTTAGCTCTGCCCTTTACGTAATTGTAATGATATATTCTCATTTTCTCTTGTACATATTTTCATTTTCTTTTCAGTGTACATGTATTCTATTCGTTTGTCGCATATGACTACATAATTATTTTTTTGCTTCTGGACTATATGTATCAACTACTAACAATTTGCTTTTCTTGCATGATGGTTAAGAGGAAAAGCTCTTAAGTGCTTGCTCTTCTTATTGCGCGTTAGTTTGATTGATATTGATTTAACAGAAATTTTCTGGTAATTTACATATATGTGACCATGAACTCAGTAGTAACCCTAGGTTTTTTCAGTTTCTTTGTTTTGTTAGTTAGATCTGCTTTTCAGTTTCCTTGGTTGCTTTCAGGCTGGTGTTCCATTTCTGTTACAGGTCTCTTTCATTTTACTTGGCTTTAGACTTACCTTTCCTCAAATTGTGGAAAATCAAGTGAGAAAATAAAAAAATAATAAAAAAAAAATCAAGTATTGGTGAGTAAAACTCTTTTTTTGTATTGGTTTATTTACCAGAGTTCACTGTTTTAAGTGGTCCAAAGTGGGTGAACAAAATCGGAGTCGGTAGAAAACACTTACTGAGGAAACACTTTAAAAAGAGGTTTTGTTCACTTGAATTTTATCGGTTCGTAACTGGGGCGGACCAACGTGGATGAGGCCTTAGGCAAGATCGAAGTATTTTTTTACATTTAATTAATAGTTATAATTTTTTTATTTATAGATTTTTAATATAAAACTCAATTTTTTTCTCTCTCTATATTCTTGTATTTAAAATTCTGGGTCAGTCACATGCATAATCTTTATTATTAGTAGCCTTTGGACAATTTGACTTATTATTTTTTTTAAAAATTTTTGACCTTTTTAATTGAAGTGTCAAATTGTCAAACAGGGTATTATTTTTATTTATTTTTTCCCTCTCAAGCCTTTATTATTGAGTGCCAGGAAGATTTTTACTAGGCTTTTTCATTAGGCTTTTTCATTGGAAGCAATTTCGATAATAAGGACCACCATATAATCACTCACCTAATTATCCTTTTTTTTTTTTTTTTTTTTTTGGGGGGGGGGGATAAAAAGAAAACAAGAATAGAAGAAAGAAAAGGGGGAGGCACTCAGGGATTAGATTCTCTGATATGTCATCCTCATCATATCAGCCACAATTTGGCTTCTAACAGCAATAGGTGGTTTATCTACCACCACCAATGGTTCTAATTGGTCAGCTTTCATATTGGCTAACATATCTGCACACTTGTTACCCTCTTGCAGTATATGTTGAATAGAGCAGTTACACTTGCGGATTAGGTGTCTGGAATCCTCCACTATGCTTCTGAAAGGGCAGTTTGAAGGTGGCCCTTTGTTGAGCAATTCTTCAGCTAATCCGTTTCGACGATAACTTTGAGCAAACCCTTCTCTAGCACCATTGTTAACCCTCTGTAAATGTCCCATATTTCAGCCTTCAAACTATAATATATTCAAGCTTGCCGAAAAATCCACACAACCAGATGCCTTCTTCATCCCGAAATACTCCGCCAAAGCCTCCTTCACCTGGATCTCCCTGAGCACACCCATCGGTGTTAAGCTTGATTTTACCTACAGATGACGGAGTCCATTTAACCATAACATGAGTTAATCTATTATTAGTCAAAGAAATGGAGAAAGCATGTTTAATCTCATTAACATAATTAAATGTTAGAAAAATTGTTCTCTGCCAAGCAGGATCAATATCATGAAAAACTTTTATATTCCTTTCTTTCCAAATTTTCCAAACAGTAACAGCAAAAATAAGGCCCCAATCTGGACTCCTTTCCATGCTATTTCGTAAATTGGATTTGAGTCAAACATTAAGGGGTCTCAACATGTCCCTAGAACTTTGACAGCTTCCCATTAATTCATTCCATACAAATTTGGAATGAGGACAGTCACGAAACAAATGCTCAACGTCCTTTAAATGATGGTTGCATCTAGGACAGTTTGCATTGTCCGTAATTCCCCTTTTTAACCTTATAGAATTGGTAAGGAGTTTACCATGAAGAGTCAACCACAAAAAGCCTTCAAGCTTCTATGGAATTTTTAATGTCCATACCCAATCCATATTAATAGAATTGTCCACCGAACTAGAGACCATTTGATAGGCTATAGCGGCAGAAAAATTACCATTGGTGGACCCCTTCCAATGGGAAATATCAGGGTAGGTAACAAAACGAGGTAAATTAACTTTAAGCACTTTATCAAGGGCTTCACTTGGAATGCAAGCCTTGATCTTATTCACATCCCACTCCCCAATATCATTCATAAGTTTATCCACAGTATCCATATTGATTGAACTATGTTCTGGGTATTGTGAAACTAGAGAAGCTTCTCCGCACCACCAATCATGCCAAATGGAAATTTTTGCACCATCTCCCACACCGCACTTGATACCTCTTCTCAAGATATCTTTGGTTTTGAGTATACCCTCCAAGTTAGTGAGGAGTTTCTCTTGGAAGCATAAGAAAGAAGAGAATCTTTTATAAGATATTTCTCTTTAATCACTTTCACCCATAAACAATCCTCATTACCGAGAATTTTCACCCCATTTTGGACATAAGAGAAAGATTTTGAGCCTTGGCCTTTTGAAGCCCAAGCCCACCCACTTTCTTATTATAACACATAGTATCCCAATTCACAAGATAAATTTTCTTACTAGACTCAGAATCACCCCACAAAAAGTTACGATTCAATCTATCCATATCTTTACAGATGCTTGTGGGAACATCCATAGTTTGCATTGCATAGGAGGGAAGAGTTGAAGTTACTGATTGCATTAAAGTGGCTCTCCCCGTCATCAAGAGAAGGTTAGCTTTCTAACCAGATAATCTTCTTTAGATCTTATCAATAATAAATTGAAAGTATCTCCGGTTATACTTTTTATGAAGCAGTGGGATGCTAAGATAATTACCCAAATCTTGAGTTAAAGAGATACCACTCAATCTACTCAAGGATCTGACCTTGACATTAATAACATAAGGAGAAATGAAAAGTTTAGATTTGGAAAGATTAATCTTAAGACCTAAAAGAGTACTAAACTTGTTCAAAACATCCATGATAATTTGACAATTCTTTTCTTCCGCTTTACCAAACAAAACCAAGTCATTAGCAAAAATTAAGTGTGTGATAACAGTGCCTTGGGCCGAAGCCTTAACCCCTTTCCACCCCTTATCATTCTCTTTGGCCATAATCATGTTCGAGAGTCTCTCCATACACAAAACAAAGAGATAAGGAGAGAGCGGGTCACCTTGCCTCAACCCTTTCTCCATACTGAATTCTTTCAAATTCTCACCATTCCAAAGCACAGAGGCTTTCACGTTGGTAACACAGTTCATGATTAATTCAATCCAGTGATCATTCAAATTAAAATCAACAAGAGTTTGGTAAAGAAATTGCCAAGATACATTGTCATAGGCTTTTTCAAGGTCTATTTTTAAAATCATGTCACATTTTTTACCCTTTTTTCCCCTAAGAGTATGAACAATTTCTTGTGCAATAATGATGTTATCACTAGTGGAGCAACCCGGGATGAAACTGTTTTGAAAAAGACCAATCACAGCAGACAAAATAGATCTGAGATGACTAACTAACACTTTAGTCAAAGTTTTATACAAAACATTATAGAGACTAATGGGGCGAAAATGGGTCAAAGATTTAGGATTTTCAAGTTTTGGAATGAGAGTAATCAAAGTATCTTTAAAATTATCAGAGATATTTTTATTAGCAAAACAAGACTGAATAAAATTACACACAGAGGGGCCAACAATCTCCCAGTGAGTATGGTAGAAAAGAGATTGTGTAGCACTTGTACCCTTTTAAAATTTATGGGAAGTGTATTTAAACCCTTTATTTTATTTTGGGAATCTTTGGTGTTGTTGTATCTTGGTTTTGGAGGAGTACAAATCGATTTAAACTTGTTAGGATTGTTCGTTCACACTTGTTTACATTGAAAAGTTGTTTGGAAACTTAGAAATCTTGTTCGGGGTCAACACCAATCTTGGTGGTGTCGACACTTGCCTTTTGTTGTTGGCCTTAAGGGTCGACACCAGTCTGGAAGGGTTGACCCTCGTAAGTTGCTGAATCTGGAAGTTGCTTGCTGAAATTTGGTGTCGACACCAGTCTGGGTAGGATCAATACCTTGCCTGTTGCAGTCTTTGCTTTTATGTCTGAAGGGTCGACACCTACGTGTAATTTTCAGCTTTTTGGGTTGGTTTGGGCCCTACTTTTTGAGAGTTTTTGACTTGTCCTTTTATTTGACTTTAGGGCAATTTTTTACTATTATAAATAGACCCAAACCACTTTCCTCTCATTACTTTTTCTCCTATTTTCCTCTTAAACCGTGATTTTTCTCTTCTCTCTCTAAAATTTGACTTTTCACACCTAGATCTCTTGATCTACTCACCTAGAGTGATCTTTACACCATGGTCCTTTAAGAAAGATTGTAAATCTCGTCAAGGGCTTCCTTTTGGTCCGAATAGTTCGTGGTTTCGTCACCGGTGAATTTTGGATTGTCATCTCTTCGCTTCAAGAGGTAGGGATTTCTTTGCTCATGTACAATACCTCATCTATAGATAGATATACGGTAGATTTTATTACATAAAAACCATATTCATTATGGATTTTCTTGAGAGCCATGAAAGAGGATCCAAAGTTTAATATTTGTGATTGGAGTTATTAAGTTGTTTGTTGTTTGGGCTAATTGGGAAATGATTTAATATGTTTGTGAAGAGAGGGAGGAAAGCCCTAATTTAATATTATTGATATAATGTATTTAAAAGGAAGGGAGTTCAATAATATTTATATTTTGCTAATGTGGATTGTATAATTGTGTTTATATCAAAAGAAAATAAAAAGAGAAGTAACCACGGTGTTGGTATTGTTTTAGACTAATCATGTGAAGTTGAGTTGAGTTATGGTTTTGATACCAATGGAATTGGTTTTGTAAAATAAAGAGGATGGATTTGGTTTTGGTTTTGTAAAATGACGAGAATGAATTTTTAGAAAATGGTTGGAGTCGTGTGGATTGTAAAATAAAGAAAAGTGGTCTTTTTGAGAGAAAATGAAATCATCACCCTTCGTAAATTGATAATGAACTTG